TTCTGAGCCCACTGCAATCATGTCTCCCCTGCATTGTTTAAGGGTGGACGAAATACAGCTTTAGCAAGCCTCTGGACGATCCTTCATCGAGACCATCAATGTCCATTTTATATCCCTAAAAAGAGGACACCATCTATGACTTTTTAATGTTTTAATGATTTTCAAGACTGAATCACACTTAATATAAAGAAGCTTTTTTACTCTGAAGTCCATGCCTTAGAAATGTTCCTGTATCCTTCCTGATTCAATAACCTTGTCTCTGACTTGTTTGGAATTTGTTCAACCCTTTTTCGCCTTAATGGTGTAATTTTTGACAACTACAGGCCGCACCATATAAAGGTGTTATTTTCACACAGTTTGTGTGACTGCTGACCCAATTGGCTGCTCTAGTCACGATGAATTAGGCATATCAGAGAAAAGGGTGTGAACACTTATGCAATGAGTTATTTTGCATATAAATGTTTTTAATTTACATACCTTTGTGAAGCTTTATCTTCATTTTTCCATTAGTCTTTCTTCTGTTGTCAGTATTAAAAAGCCAAATTGCTTTCACTGTCACTCAGTATTTTTTAAAACAATAAAACATGAAAAATGTCATTAAAACCCACGGATACAAAAGTCACATTAAGGTGCCAATCCTCAATAACAGACTTGGGTCTAAGTTCATGAAATATTTTTCAGTGACAACAAATTTACATTGCCTGTTCTAAGAGCTATCAGAAAACAATACACCTGGATCCTACATTATTCTCAATCCTGACAGTGAGATTGAGTGAGACAATTATTTACTTCCCAACAGAATCAATTGAGGGCTAAATAACATAAAACAAAAGCATTCATGGGGTAAAGTCCTGTGCACTCCAGCTTTTCAATAGCCTCACCAAATACTAAACATATATGCAACGCTCCTAATTTCCATGCCCCCTCAGAACAGACTAATCTCCATCACTACACCCATCATCTGCCAGACCAGCTGCTGCCAACCTTCTGACCCCCTCTCCCCCACACCAAGCCCACCACCTAATGGGATAGCGTCTGCATTGCGGCCCCCTCTTTCCTAACACATTTCAGAAAATCATTCCCACTCGCATTCAGAAATAAACTGAAAACCCCACCTTTTCAAATCTGCATTAACACTTGACTCCTATTACTCCCTCAAGCACCACAATTACTGTTTGGAGTGTATGAAGCATAATCTAGCTGTTATAATTCAATACATTACTGAGGTTATTTTTGTACTACTTTTCAGTATGGTAGTAAATGGTTTTCAGCCATCATAAAGCATCTGAAGAAGAATGAATCACCAGGGCATAATTTTTTTTTAATGATTATTTTATTAAATAAACACAGACTGTCCTGATTAGGCACATACAAATTATACAGTCATTCTAGGGATGGATAGTTCAACAGGGAGATAAGGATCTAACTGTAGAACAGTGCAAATGGTGACTCCCACAGACAAAACATAGCAAAAAGAACAACAAAAACAAAACGACAGTCCCTCGGTGTCTTGCAGCTATTACTCCTGCTAAAGAAAAAAACTGAAATCAGTTACACAAGTCTTGATTTAAATCAACATTGACACAGGGTTGTCATTCTGAGGCAGAGATTTTTCTGCAAGTAAGTATGTGTTACCTTTTCGCTTCTGTGCTGCAAATAATGAGACCTCAGGTCATTCTGACAGTTGGCGTACGCCATGCCAAGTCCCACTCCGGAGCCAAATGAAATCGGCCATGTGTGCCCTACAGATGAAACAGGTACTTTATCTCTTACTCAGACTCACTTCATAGTGTACCAAAGATGGCATGTGAAATCCTTTTCACAGCCTTTGTTTGTTTTATTTTAATTTTTTTAACTTTACTATTCATTTTAATAATGAGAAATTTTAATTTTAATAATTAGAACAGACAGATAGGACTATTGTTTAACAAAAAATACTAACTAGACTGTCACAGCGCATAAGTAAAAAAGTGTTTAGCTACTTGTACTGTCTGTGCTGCAGCAGCTACAGAGCATCACTCCGAGCCCTGCTCCTCTTGTCAAGGACCTCTGAGCTAAATTAAAGGTTCAAGACGCACTACAGCAACAATCCATTGAAACTACTTACGTTTGAAGAACAGAACAGAAAACACGATTCCTAGCCCCAGCCCAGTACCTGGAAAAAGAGGGAGGGATAAACACAGCTGCAGTATGACATGGATGACGATGTACCTTTAACTGGCTGTAATTAATACAGTTACAGACCTTTTTCACAGCAGCCATTTTGACATGAAATAGTAGGGTAAACACAGGTGTTATCCATGATACTAATTGAGGTTCTGTTTCATTTAGTGTAGCAGAGCTTTTCCAGTGAGCCAACATGCACAGTCGCAGCACAATGACTCTGTTTGACCTGAACCTTCATTAGTATGATTGGCAACACTTTGTTTACCCTACTATTCCATGTCATGCTGTGAAAAAGGTTTATTGCTTCATGCTTATATAGTTGTTATATGCATATGTAGTCTCATTCTGTCTCTGACTTGCGTACATTTATATTATATATTTTTCATATAACCTTAGCACACGCTTTATTGCTTTGTAATGCAGTGTAGGCATGTCATGTAGTGTGGGGATTACAGTATTGCCCCCATATTGTTCTCTGAAACTGGTTAATAATGTGCTGTAAATTCCTCTCATTTTATAAAGAACACCTGCAGTCTTTATACATAGCCTCGTTTAGTAGCTGTCTATGACATTGCACCAAACTCCATTCAAATATTCGACAGTTTTATGTTGCTCTGCTTATAAGCAGTATGTACATGACTGAATACCTTTTAACGATAATACGGGATCTACTGGTCTATAGTGATAGATTAAGCAATACCTTATTTCAATAGATAAAATCAACTTTACACTGCTGCCTACCGCCATTTCTAACGCTAGCTAGCTACGTTGGTTCTGGAAAAGGTGGAGTTGACAATGGAAAGTTTTCATGGTATTGTGGTATGGTAAATAAATGTTTGTTGGTGTTTTATATGGATGCCGAATTCAGGAGTAGGCAATTATATATCGTTAAACGTCTTAATTAATATCTTAGCAAAGTTGTATGTATCGATAAAGAAAAAAGCATCAAATTTACATTTTCTCAATAGTGGTTTCACATAGATTTTGTTGTTGGAAAGAACCTGAAGGAAACGCCAATATTTATGAGTAACGTTAGGGCGAAAGTACTGAGGGTTACCTTAATAAAAAATAATAATTAAAGAATTTACCTATCAGATTAAATAAGTCATAGATATCTGACTCTCATGCAGTTGCCCTTTACAAGCCCTTTATGGCTAGCTAGTTAGCCTCTCGCCCAGTCAATGACAGCTGTACACTACAGTAAAACCTGCTGCTTATTTTGTCTGTTTTGGAGACATTACAATGCCGTTATACGCAGAAGACTTTGGGATATTTACCGAGTTTAATGGCACTGTCTGCCAAGCATCGGTCCCACTTTTTCCCCAGCTCCTTCTCAGACATGCTGAACATTAGCTCGTGTCGGCTAGAAGTGTCAAACACAGCGGTGGTGATGCCTTCAAGTGCTGTCCGGATTGTTCAATAATTACGATTTGAACGCTGAACGATGCCAAGTGCCGGGTGTTTTTAGGCCGCCAATCTTATTCTAAATATGACTTTGTCCGCTCGATGTTGTCCATACGGCCTATGTGTAAAAAATACATGTGCTGTATATGAAAGCTCGTTTAATTTAATTTAATTGAACGTAGCATTACGCCATTCTTGTAAACCTCGCGAGGCGTTATACCCAAAACGGCTGAATGTCGCCATCGTGTGGTGAAAAATAGTACAGGCCAAACGTAACTCACCTCTACAGACAGTAGAGTACAGTATATTTGCGTTATGGCAGAAAAACATTCACTTTAAAGCATTTTTTTGCAAATTTATTTTAAAGTTTCTGAATGAAATTTCATTTGACACAAATCAGTATACTGTCATGAAGTCATTACAGCATGTTCACCTTATTAACACTTATTTCCTGAGATGACAATATACAATTTCTGACAACATACAGTGAGCAAACATTTGATACTCACACAAAAAGTTGGCATATTTTTAAATTGTTACCATTAAATAAAGATGTGCCACGAGCTGGGACAGTTGATTACTCTGCATCCAAATCTGAAAACTAGAAAACTAAAGTACTAAACATGGAAATCATGTTATATATGAATTCTACAAACAGACAAACGTATCAAATTCATAAAATGAATCACATATGAACGATCCACTGTCACTCCTCAGTAGGCAAACTGTGTGAAACAGCCAAAAGTCATCGTGTTGGCAGTGATTATCAAGCACAGCCTCTAAAAAATGGTGTAGAATACGAGTTGGCATCTTAATGGACTTCAAGTGAACTCATAGCAGGGGTGGTTATGAGCATCTTACGCATCGTGAGCGCGTGTGAACAGCAAAGGGGCACCAAAGAGGTAGAAACTGTGTCCTTGAATGTATCTTTGGCCAAAAACAAAATAACCCCCCCTTTGCTTTTACTGCCTTTCCTCCAGTATATGTATGCGTCTTAGCTCCTACTGAATTCTTGTCAGTGACAACCAAGACATCTCATTAAAAGTCACGCTTTACGTGGAGTACATTCCAACACAACTTCAGTGATAATACACATACTGTGCATATTAAAACGATAGCTATCATCCAGATATACCCACAGTTAAAGGCATACTAGAATGCTGTGTTTAAGTGGCCTTCACTACAAAAAATATGCTGTGGTTTGACTGCATTTCATCTTATGTAAAAAAAATAATGTGGTGAACACAGGGGAAGAGATCATAAACCCCGTCCCCTGGTCCTGAAGGTCTTCTAGCCACAACCACAGTTCACTCTGACGCTGTTCTGATCACTCATTGGACCCTGGCTGAGGGGACTGTTCCTGTGCTGCTGCTGCCGGGTGGTTGGTTTCTTCTCTCGCCATCTTCACGGAGCCCTTGCTGATGACCAGGAGATCTCGCAGCTCCTTGTTCTCAATCTGATAAATAAAAAAATTGTCAGTTCATTCAAAATACATAGCATCTATCATTACTTCTAGTGGTAGAGCACTTTTTAAATACAATACTTTTCAATCTTTGGGCTTGGGGGAAGGTACAAAGTATGTTCTAGTCAAAAGGTTCAAATCCGAGTGAAGTCAGGAGTCACTCGTGTTAAAGTTGACATCAAGATGCATGTCTTTTTTGATTCAACCCTTTAATCAAATTGACAGAAATGTAGCAACTTGATGTATTGTATGTACACGGTATTCAATTACAGTATATTTGTGTAGCTGACACATGTATGTCTGTATGTATAATGTCGGTTTGTGAGCATGTTCAATGTATCTCTTCACCTTATCTAGGAAAGATACCACATAGAGATGCAGAGACAGTATCAGTGTGATATTTTCAGAAATAGCCTCTCAGAAATAAAACATCTGCAGGTGCTCTTTATTCTGCTGTGCTCACCTCTAGTTGAGCGAGCCTCTCTCGAATAGAGCAGTAGTGCTGATCGTCCACCTGCACTGCTCTCCTCATGACCTGTCCCATCTCACATATCCTCTCCACCTGGCTCTGCACTTCCTGGGGGGAAAAAAAAATAAATAAAAGAGTCAGAAAATCAATACAGCTGTGCAACCACTGATTTGAAATCCTAACCTAACGAAGGGCCGAGGAATGTAAAACGTGAAGCCGGTCGGCATACTTTTGCGTGGTCCTCGTGGAGGCTGAGCACCGGTTTGGTGTCCAGCTCCTTCTTGGCCATCATCAGCTGGAGCATCTGCTTGCGGTATCGACCCATGATCAACTCGAGCGCGTACTGGTGTTCTTCGAGAGACAACCATAGTTCTGCAGAGAGAGTCACGAGAGGGTTAGCAAAGACATAAAACACCTGACGTACAACCGACAGAAGAGAGTGGCTTCTTTTAAACCTTTATTCTCCTGCTGTAGTTCCTTGATTTGAGTGTTTTCCTGAGTCAGAAGGACATGGGGCTTGTATTTGGTCAGCTCCTGGATCTCTGAAGTGTCTTCTATGTGCTGGGAGGAGAAGAGAGAGAGAGAGAGAAGATGAAGCCTCTATCAACGACTGTGTGTGTGTGTGTGTGTGTGTGTGTGTGTGTGTGTGTGTAGGGAGCAGTGCAGCAGTGCAGCAGTGCAGCTTCACATAACCCACAGTCACATATTTGAATGAAACCTCTCTGTGAGCGTGTTGATGCTCGTCCTCACCTTGTCTGGGAGGGCATTCCCCACCTCTCTCATGCTGTGCACCCTCTGGCTGAGGGCCCCGGACTGCTCTATCAGGCCCTCGGCGGCAGTGTCGTGCTCTTTCAGTCTCTCCAGAAGGGTCCGGGCATCGCCCAACACTTTTTCTAAAGTGCAGGCCATTTCCCGGGAACGGACAACTCCCGTGTGTAACGTAAACAAGCTGCTCCACACAGCCGGCTACCAGCTAGCAGCTAACTACCCCCAGGTGTAACTACCTCGCAGTGTTAGCCTGCGTTGGCTGTGTAGCCTTAAGTTAGTTAGCCGAGGCAGCTGCAATGCCTTTATAGCAACGTGTGCAAACTGTTGCAGACCTTTGGAGATATGTGTCGGTAACCGGAATAAGTAGAGCGCATACAAATAAAATGTCAGTCGGTGTCTGTTGTCAAGTCTGTCGTTTCCGTCTGAGACTAAACGATAACGTCACTTCTTCTTCCTTGATCAGTCGCAAACCAAACAAGAGGTAAATACCGCCACCTACCGGAGGGTTTGGAGCTGATGGAAGTTTGACAGTAGCAACTGTGAGACTGATTGAACAGCTGTACCGAATCAGAGGCTGTGATTCTAAAAACAAAGCAAAACAAAACAGATGTACAGGATGGACACTGTGGTTTGTTAAGAGTCCAAGCTGGAGAGCAATAAAAGGAAAGGGAATGAAGGAAAGGGTGAGCACTTTGTTTTCTAATTGAGACCAATTAACTTGACACCTTTGTTTCCATCAGGAAAGAGCTAATCGTGGTTTTTGACTGTTGCATCACCAACACGTCTTCTATACCACACAGAACAGAACAGAGGCTGTTTTAAAAAAAACAACAACTTCACAAGTTTTTAATGTTGTTTGAGATTCAAGTCAGTTCCGTTATTTCAGACATAGACGTGAAGATTCACCACGTTAAATAAGAGTTGGTGTGTCATTTTTCTTGTTTCATCCAGCCTACAATGTGGCCATGTTGATGATTTACCTCCCAACTCACAGCAGCACACACAAGAATATGGTAAATTAACTCATATAGACTGTATTGTTTATTTGTATAGTCCTTCTGTGGTTGAAAATCAGGTAACTGTGGGATTTCAAATGATATATATTCATAAAGTTCAGCTCATTTTGTGATAAATTGATGCACACGTTTGAGCAAATTTGAGTGCGACTGTCATCAACATTTCAAGTCTCCACACGTACAATGAATAATATGAGTGAGGAGTGAAGCATTGCGGCCTTAAATGACATTTCCCCCACAGCCAGCTTCATTCTTGAATACATCCCCAAGTTGCAACGTGTGGCCTCAGAAACTCTACCGCAAGAGGAGAACAGTCGCTGTCAACCGGTTCAACACGGCACACGCTTTGAGTTCAGATGTCTTGAGCTAGTGAATGACATACTAATTACTATACTCCCATTAACACGGCTACCGAGCCCAGGTAGCAAGTTATAGAAAATATTACATGTATCACTCTACTGTATGTCCAGTCTCCCATGAATCCCTGCGAGACCACAATGGGCGCTAGTCAACAGCAGCTGCGCAGCAATGGCCCCTCTTCCCGTGTAGGCTCTTTGGTCGTCCTAACGCTGTCAAATATCGCGGTAGCCGCCTCCCTAATCACTACGTAATGTGCCGTGCTGCTTCAAGCGGCGCTGGTGACAGTGCTGAAAGCTGTTGGGGTGAGTTTTTATTCATTTTACGGTTTAATATAACAATTTTAACATTTGTTTGAAATGCCGAAGTGAGGCATTTTCGGTTACTTATCCAACGAGCCTTTACAATTGACCAGGCTCCGCTGTGCTTAGTCATACGCAGAGCTCGGGCCTGGGTGGGGGCAGCCGTGTTTTTCCTCACCATAAATCACCACACGAGCACCAGGCGGCTCAGCGGCGTGCTAGCGAACTGTAGCCGCTGTTAGCCGCCTAGCATTTTGAACGGCCTCTGTACATCGTTAAAGCCTCAATTAAACAGGCTTGTGTGTCTAAAAAACGCGCCCCAGTGTGCACAAGAGACCGCACTTGTGTGACATTGTAGTGTGAAACGTTAGTGACGGACGTGTTGGGGTTGAGCACGAGCTTCCGACCGCTGGTCGTAGTTTCTTTGTTGTCCCGTCCTCGTGCCGTTAGCTCAGATAACGTTATCTTTCTTTTATTATCTAACCTATGAGAATAAACTCTGTTACCGGGGGTTTATTGGGACTGATTAGCTGTAGGTGTAAATATCCAGTTTAATAACTAACGGTTAAGGTTTAGTCTCAACGTCCGCAGACACCGTCCCAAACTCTGCTTTTGTCTGTTCAGTTACATTTCTGCCAATAAACCTTTCTGTCTGAGCGAAGTGCGCCATGCCATCGAACAGCTCTACACGGTGATTTTTACTGAAATAAAGTCATTACTCGGTCATCACGTGAGTGCGAATAGCCCGTGGACCCTCCGCTTTGTAACAATCCTCGAATAACTGTCCACAAAGTGTGTAACTCCATTTTAGAAACGTTTAAGTAAGTGTTTTTTTTTTTTTTCTGGACGGGTCTTGGTGTGCCTGTCTCGGTGTACAACAATGACACGATTGAGCGCTTACTCTCCGACAACTTTCTGAGCAGAGACTGCGCGCCACGTACCTGCGATAACTACCAAATAACTCAGAAACGTCTGGGGTGCTAACTATTTGAGCTAACTCGTGTCGTAATGACACTGTCGCAGTGAATTAATTTCCATTTTAAGAGTCGGAAACGCCCGGGGGTATTGGCTGTTTACGACTTTAGCATTAGCGACATGCTAATCCGTCTGGTTCCGTGGGTCCACACAAGGTCATTAAGATGATGGGATATATACTCAACTGTTAATGTGTGCGTACTTTAGACTAACGGGCAGTGAAAAGGGGCGAAAGGCAACCCGTCCTCGGTAGTTAACACTCATTTTAGAGTTTTACATGTGTTGGGAATTAGCTGGCTAGCCTAGATGTGACGTTTTTGCATGCCGCAACGTGTTGGATCAGGCCATGTTAGCAGCTCCAGCAGAGGATGGCGGATTGCTGGGAAGTCACATGGTTGGTCCTGCCAGGGTGGTTGTTGTTCGGGCCCAGATCAGGGTGGCACCGTCGTGTTAAAGCCTGCGAGACCTTATCGATTAGCCGTTCTGTCGTATCTCGGATAGTGTGTGTGTGGCTGGCTCTTAGTCTTTGTTGTTTAATGATTACCGAGATAAAACCGTAGACTACTACTCATGAGAGAGTGCTGAAACGTCCAATCGGTGCTGGTGCTTCAGTGGGTGGACTGTTTTCTCTTTCTGCGTCACCAAAGCTGAGGAAGGGGGAGCAGAAAAGCCAATCTCCTCCGAGCTTGTTTTCACTGGAGTCGTCTGTTGTCATTGCTTATAACCTTTAACCCACTTAACCAACCCACCCTGTGATAAATGACTTGCTTTCTACTGTCATTGGACTGTGCAGCTTTAGTTCTTGTGGGACAAGAATTCACCCGAGCTCTGCAAATGAAACTAAAACACACACACAAAGCTTGTTTGTTAATGTAGATTATGGCATTTGGGTCTGAATAGCAAGCAGGCAACCCTCTCTACTGCTAGGAATCCATTGAGCATTTCCACAATGTTATATTTTAACTTTCCAGGAAGTATGTGGGATGGGAGTCATTGCAACACAGTCACAGCAAAATGGATATCATGTGTCCTGGGCTGGCTCACCCAGCTTGTTTTGAAAGCAGTGTATTTAGGTCAACAACACTGTGCTTTTACCTACTGAAGGGGGATCACTTTCTAAGTTTAACTACATTTAGCAAAATTCACTCACGTGGTACAACACACACAAAAACTGAATATCACGGCCCGAACTGAAGGTTTGCTCCGGGACTAGTTGATCTACAGCTCCTGCCTGCTAGTCAGCTGCCTGTCATTGTGGGCTGTATCCAGAGGCATCTGAGGAAAACCTATTTTTATACTTGTGAGTCTGGGGGCAAAGACTCTAGTGTTCTCAAAACAAACTTCAGGCCACTGGTCTTCAGGCTTGTTACTGTTGTTCACGTGACAGAAAAAAGTGAAATTCTTATCATTTGACTGTAATTACATTTCACTGCCTCACTGCAGGCTCTTGGAGCCCCTTTGTCTTTTTTGTGCCAACAGTAAACATTTGATCTGTGAAGTTTTTTTTTTTAATCAACATAGGGTGAAGTCAAAGTCATCAATTCTGCTGAGCTAACTAAATCTGCTTTTTCTCCCCCAACAGTATGAAGTGAAACGGAACTGAATTTTTGTACCATCCGCAACTGCTTCAAGTTCAGATCATAACAAAGAAACCGAAGATCAACCTCCCAAGACAAGCAAAGTTGCAACACCGAAGACACACGGAAAAAAAGGATCACTTCAACGGTTTAAAACACAAGAAGTAACCAAATCCTGAAACGACCAAAGAAGACACACATCAGCCCAATTGAAACACAGAAGAGAAGCAATCCTATGCCCAAGCATATTCTGAGAAGACAATAACTGATCTGAAACCAGAAGTTTGTGCCTACTCAACAGCTTTGACAAAGCACACGTCCCAACGCTGCTCCTAGCCCTCCTCATCCTCACCACACCACCGACTCACCGGGGTGTGGAGTGGGCTGCTATCTGCTAGTTTTTTTTTTTCTCTTCCCCATAGTTCCTCCCATCTTCCCTCCCTCTACTCTCACACTGTTTTCATTATAATTGTTTTCTAAGCAGTGTTATTGCACCTGCGTTTGCCTTTTTCTTTTTTGAGCTAGATTTCTCCCCCTTTTTGCTTTATGCAACCATCTAGAACTTGTGCCAGAAACCTGTAACAAGTGTGTGTGTGTGTGTGTGCGCGTGTGTGTTCAACTGTGTGCGTGAAGAGATCTGCAGGAACTGCATAGTCACTGAGATCCTAAGAATTACAAGATTCAAGACGACAAATAAAGGTGGGTGTCAGTTGTAGTCCCTTCATAACACGAGACCTGATAACTGTACTTTTTAACTGTTTAGTCACTTATGATTTAATTAGTCATGTTTTGAATGATCCCCCCCCCCTGCCCCCCCAATATGCTGAAAACTTTTCCCTGTAAGTGGTTTAAAAACTCACAAAGAATTTGATACTGCAAGTTGGGTCAGAAACTGTAATTGGTAAATTCCCTGTTTGTACACATTACCCTAATATACAGATGTACAAACACAGATTGTGTAACACTCTCAATTCTGATTCAGTTTGGCCAGCTGTGCTGATTTTTGGGCAGCAATGCAGAGGTAGTTTTCTCACTGAACACAAACAACAATGATATTGTTCCTGTTTGCTTTAGCACATCCAACTTTGACCAGTACCTATGCTTTTTTTTTTTTTTTTTTAAATTGGTTTTATTGAAACTCTGGATTTGTGCGCTCATCAATTAGTTTGGGGTTCTCAATTTTTAAATTGCAGCATCTTCAGTGACTATTTTGCAGCCGCTGATTTCACTGATTGGCACATCTTCAAAGAAAGGACAACATATTAGCTCTTGGCACATGATTAACATTCCTCATATGGAATGAGTGTGATATGTGACAGAACTGAAGGTTTTATTGTCAGTGACCTCTAGGGCTGCACGATATGGTAAAAACATCATATTGCGGTTCATGCTTATGTGGGAATTACATTTTCTTTTTTCATTACAAATTGACTTAAATTTGGAGAACAAGATTTGTAGACCAGGCTATCTGCAGCACTACAGTACCTCATTATAA